TGTAAACTTTTGTTAAAATCATAATAAAAAATAATAACATGGGTTGATGATATTTAAGTACAAAATACCTGGTAATAACTAGTACTTATAAGGCAATTTAGTTTACAAAAATTTTCATGGTTAATTTTTCATCTGTGACAAAAATTCTACAACATTAGTATAAAGTACAAATTTAACAGTGGTGACCTTTGAATGCTGGTACTAAAGTAGGCTGAGGGGGACCTGAATTTGCTTTACTACTCAGCTGACTCAAGGAAGTGACCTTAATCAGTTTAAGATAGCTAATAAGGGCCATCAAGTGGTCTATAACTCACAAGAACCCAATGAACAATAGATACAAACCTTGCCCTATCCACCATAATCACAATCTCTGTCATGCTTATGCCAATACTGTAGCCACTGTGCCAATCCATCTCTTTGGGGTCTTCTCTTTCCCCGATTTCTACTTTTCTAAGCAACAAGTCTGTTTTTTTAAGGACTGGACCCTCCTTGACAAAATGCCCTCATAAGCATGGGAGATAAAGTTTAACCATAATTGTCTCTAAGGAGAACCCTGATTGCACCTACTCCAAAACAAATTTTTGCTTTTGCATTTTGTTGTTTTGGCAGCCCATGGTATATTTAATACTCTTCACTAACATAATTCAAAGGCATCACACGTCTTCTTCGGTCTTCTTTATTTACTGTCCAACTTTAAAATGCTTTGGAAGCAATTCAAAATACTATGGCTTAGATCAAGTACACCTTAGTCTTTAAAGTGACATCCTTATACTTTAGCACCTTAAAGAAATCTTGACAGATTTGGCCAAAGCAATACATCTAGTTGGTTTCTTGACCACTGCCTATGGGTTTGAGATAGTTTCCCTTAAAAAACCTTCTTCAGTATAAAGAATATATTTATATTTTTAGGTATATAAATAAGACTATGAGGAATACTCAAGGCATCCTTAAAGTAACTAGACAAAATGCTTCATATGCAACAGATTCTTATCAAATGAAAAACTTCCATTTTATAACTCAGTGTTACTCCACATGTGGTCAGTGAACTGTTATCTCCAATGGGGAAAAAATGCTTCTATTAGAAATCATCCACAGCCCTCAGGTTACTCTTTAGTGTAGCTGTCTTTTTTCACAGTAAGGCTTTCTGGATGAATGGAGTGGGATTTATATCATGATGCAAACTCCTCACCTAATCATGGGCCAGCAATTAACAGTTACAGCAAAGATGCCAGTCCTTGGGCCACACTTTGAGTTACAATGTCAAAATACAGTGAAATTTAGAATCATAAAGGTTATTTTACAGCCTTTGGAGAGAGGAAGTAGTATAGACAGGTTGAACAAAACCTTCCGAATCCAAAGTAGATGTCCTTCTTTCCACTATAACCAGGAAAATAAATGTGGGCCCCACTAAGACAGATTTCTAAAGACAGTGAAATAAAAAAAAGGGGCAACCACCTAATCTTCCATTTTGACAATATCACTTAAAAGTGTTCAAACAAGAAGGGGTCTTGTCACGTGAGCTTGAGAATGTAGCTTGCACATGATTACCTTAATGAGGCCTTACAAGATGCTATCATAGTTTTTTGCTCAAATGTGGATTCTGAAAATAATTTGCAGGGAATCTCTCTCATAGTCTAACCACACAAATAGAAACTGTCAAAGTGGATGAAGAGTAATGAATAATAAACTTACCAAGATTTAATCGTAAAACACCTAAAAGTCCATATGCATCCATTACTTTGGAGTATGTACTCCTGATTGCCTCTTTTTCTGCAGAAGCTACAAAAAAATCATTTGTAAGTTAATAAAAATTACCAAGAAAAAAAAAATCAGTTCCTATTTAGAAATAAAGTCAGAGTTCCAACCAAAAATTTTAAAACTTAAAACTAATTTTAACATACATGTACTAAATAAAATAGTTTCTTCAATCACAATAGCATAGGAGTTTGGAATCAGAAGTACTTGGTTCGTGTGTCAACTGCTGTTGATGGTATGTGCAGTGCAGTCATAGCTGATGCTCCAGCTGGCTTTCAGAGGCAGCATATCGTAAGGGAGGGGACTGTCCATCCTCCTTTCTTGGAGCAACTGTAGATTCAAACTGCATGCTTTTGGGACTGCAGTGCAGCTTCTTACCACTAGCCACCAGAGTTTCTTTGTTAACAGGGCAATCTAAAATCAGTCTTTGTTAGATTTTCGAGTTCTGATATGGGTCTGGAAGCCAGATTTGTTTTTTTGAGGGTTTTTTTTTAAACTGTGACTTGAATGGAAGTACACAAGGAAGTTATCTTTTCATTCACTCATTTATACAGATTTCTCTCTATTCCCCTCCTCATTCCCCGTACCAACTTATTAGTTGTAGTACTCATAGTGTCATATCTCCATTTTCTACAAAATTACCTTTCCTTCACCTATTCCAAAACTGTGTGCCTTGTTTATCCATTCTCTTTCTGTTCTCCCCACCTACCTGGCTCTTCTCAACCTTAATCTTCTTGATTTTGTAACAGTAGTCTTAAATTGCACTTGTCCCTTGGTGACTGAGTTAATTCACTCAGCATAATGTCCTCTAGATGCAGCCACGTTGTATAAAACAGTTTATCCATTCATTTGTCGATGGACACTTGGACTGCTTCCGTTTTCCTGCTATTGTGAACAACACTGCAATAAACATGAGTGTGCATACACCTATTTGTGTCTTATCTCTGTTTTCCTTGGAGTAAATTCCTATTAGTGAGATGATGATGTGTGCTGTCAAGTCAAATCCAACCCATAGCTGACCCTCCAGCAAGTTTTCAGAGGTAGTAAATCATATGGGAGGAGATTGTCCTATCCTTCTCCTGAGGATTAGACGGTGGATTTGAATTGTGTGCCTTTGAGCAGTGCAGCTTCTTACCTCAGTTGTTGTTAGGAGTCAATGAGTAAAGTATGACTCATAGCAACCCTATGAAAAACTGATTAGCTCTATCCTGTGCCATCCTCATGATCTCGGACACACGAAGCCCATTGGTGCAGTCATTGTGTCAACCTACCTAGTCAAGGGCTTCCTCTCTTTTGCCTCTTTCCCCTTTTCACAAGCATGATGTCCCTATCCAAGGAAAAATCTCTCCTAGCAATATGCCTAAAGTATGTGAAATGAAGCTTCATCATCTTTGCCTCCAAGGAGCACCCTGGCTGCATCTTCTCCAAGACATATCTGTTCTTTCGGAAGTTCACAAGATCTTCAGCACTCTTCTCCAATACTCTTAGCACTAGGTCACCAGAATTAACTGATAACTTAGAGGATAGCAGTGAGACAGCTGGGGGAAATGGTATTTCTACTTTCATTCTTCTGAGAGAGCACCAGACTGTCTTCCATAGTGGTTATACTGTTTTACACTCCTATTAGCAATGCATGAGGATTCCAGTCTCTCTACACCCTCACTGGCATTTATTATTTGCATGGTATCTCACTGTTGCTTTTATCTCTATCTAATAGAGATTTTGTACATTTCTTCATGTGGTTGTTGGCCATCTGAATATCCTCTTTGGTGAAGAGTCTACTCATAACTTCTGCCCATTTTGCAGTTGCGTTGTTTGCCTTCTTCTTATTGAGATGATGGAGTATTCTATGTATTTTGGATAGGACTCCCCCGTCAGACATGTCATTCCTCAATATTTCCCTCCAGTCTGTCTGCTTCCTTTCTACCCTTTTGGAGAAGTTTTTTGATACACACAAATATTTACTTTTTAGAAAATTCTTTTTATCTGTTTTATCTCTCCTATGGTTGTGGATTCTTGGTTATGGTTAAGTCTATTCATGCCATGATGAAAGCTTCTAAATTGGTTCCTACTTTTCACTAGTGATCTTTATCTTTTTTTTTATTTTAGATTGTTGTTATATGCTGTCAAGATGCTTATGATTCATAGTGACCCTATGAACAATGACTCTGAACCTTGCCCGATTCTGAGCCAACTTCATCATTTGACACACTTTGCCACATTGTCATAGTCACTATGTCAATTCATCTTATCCAGAGTCGTCTTCTCCTACACTGACCCTCCACCCTTTTAAGCATGATGTCATTCTCCAAGAACTGGCTCCCTCAAACCCCAACAACATGCCCAAAGTATGTGAGAAAGATTTTAAAAATCTTTGCCTCGAAGGATCAATCTGGTTTTACCGTATCCAGCACAGACCTGTCTGTTCTCTTGGCAATGTTCTCTCTTACTATGTTTGTTCTCTAGCACAACAAAATGACATCAATTCTTCTTCTGTCATCCTTAGTCATTGTCCAACTGTCCAAATGCATACAAGCAATTGAGAAGATCATGGCCTGGATCATGTGCACAGTACTTTCTAAACTGACACCACTCTTTAGCACTCTGGAGAAGTTCTTGACAGCAGATATTCCCAATGCAACTGGCCTTTTGATTTCCTCTGAGCAAGGTAAAATAATTAACAACCTTAATCATTTCTCTACCTATCATGACGCTGCCTATTAGCCAAGTGGTGAGGATTTTTCTTTTTTACTTGATGCTGTGAGGCAATCCATATTGAAGGCTGCAGTCTTTGATCTTCTGTACCAAACCGTTTAGATTAAGGTCTTCTAAATTTGTTTGTAACTTTTTACTAGTGAACTTTATGGTTTTTTTATTTTCCCCTAGCTCTACTCCACCTTGAGTTTGTCTTTGTATATGGTGTGAAATGTGGATCTTCTTTCCATTTTCTGCAGATGGATGTCCAATTTTGCCATCTGTGAAAGAGGCTGTCATTTCCACACTTAATGGATTTTGCCTCTTTGTCAGAGATCAGTTGACCATAGGTGAATGAGTTGATTTCTGGGTTCCCAACTCTTTTGCACTGACCTATGTGTCTGTCACAATAACAGTACCATACTGTTTTGATTACTATGGCTGTAGTTTTTTATATCAGGGAGTATGAGGCATTCTATTCTCTGTCTTTTTCAGCAGAGTTTTGCTTATTCTGGGTCTCTTTTCTTTCCAAAGTTGGGAGTTGTCTTTTCCATCTTCTTGAAGGATGGCTTCAGTATCTGTATTGCATTTGTAAAAGGCTATCTTTTCAAATGCACTCTCATTAACCTTGATAGCTGGCCCAACAGCATTCCTTTTCTTTGAGGTCTGACAGATGAAGGACTCAAAGAGATGTGTCCAGAAGGTTTTGAGATACAGATGTTATCTAAATCATTAGAACGTGTTTCCATAAATAGATCCGATTGAGAAAGAATTTCACCTAATCTCATTTCCATCAAGTCCAACCAATTGCTAGGTGAACCTCCAGTAGATTTCTAAGGCTGGACATTGCATAGGAAGGAGCTGTACATCTTTCTTCAGGGGGGGTTGATGGTGGCTTCATTCCACCAGAGAAGTGTAGGCTTTTAGTGAGCAGCCTAACTCCCTAAGGACTACACCACCAGAGCTCCCTGTTGTTAGGTTCTGTCCAGTTGGATATGACTCACCGTGAACCTCTGGAAAACAGATCTGAACTCTGTCCTATTCTATGCCATTCTAATCATCTTTGCCACATTTAAGTCCACTGCTGCAGTCACTATGGCAATCCATGAGGGTCATCCTATCACTTTCCACCTTTCCCAGCTCAATACTTCTTTCCAAGGAACAGCCTCTCCTAGCAACGTGCAAACATGTGAGACAAAGTTTCCCCATCCTTGCCTCCAAGCAGCACACAGACTGCACCTTGGTTTTGGTTGGTTGGGGGTTTTTTTTGTTTTTGTGTTGTTGTTTTTTTGGCAGTCCATGGATATTCAGTGCTCTTCTCCAACACCACAATTCCAAGGCATCAACTTTTCTTCTCCCATTCTTCTTCACTGTCTTGACTCTCAGATACATAGCAAGTTACTGGGAAGACCAAGGTCAGAATACGGTGCACCTCTGTCTTCAAACTAGTATCACTGCTCCTCAGTAATTTGAAGAAATCCTTGACAATGGACTTTCCCAATGCAATCCATCTCCTGATCGCCTGTCAGTATGAAGGTGTTGACTATGGACCCAAGCAAGATGAATCTATATAGTTCAGCTGAAAACTGCAATCTTCTCTCCATCTATCATGATGTTGCCTATTGGCCCAGTGGTGAATTTTTTTCTTCATGATGTTGAGATGCAATCAATATTGAAGGCTGTAGTCACTGATCCTGTGTAGTAAGGGTTTTAAATCCTTCTTACTACAAGCAAGGTTTCGTTATCTATATAGCACAGACTGCTGAGTCTTCCTCCTAGCCCGATGCCACATTTTTCTTCATGTAGTCCAGCTTCTTGAACGATTCACTCAGTGTAAAGATTGAACGCATATGAAGAAAGGATATAACCCTGATTTTAAAACATGCAGTGTTTCCTTGCTCTATTCAGAAATAATACAACTTCTTGGACTAGATACAGGAAGAACAGGTTAACAGAAAAACTGGTCCTACTTGCCATCCCAGGACGACTCTATAAGAAAATTAATGGCATGCACCTTTGGCCAATTATGTAGTTCATCTGATGTGTTTTGGACCTATCCTTATCATTGCCAAATTCTTACCTTTAGTTAAAAGTCAATTCATTGCAATCAAATTGGAACTTACTCATAACTGACCCTCCTCTAGTTGCTGATGCTCTAAATCGCAAGGGAGAGACTGTCCATCATTTTCCCTCATGAATCCTAACCACCAGAGGCTCAGCCTTCAGGTCAGCAGCACAACTCCCTACATTCTAGGCTACCATCTCGCCTTTAACCCCCCTGATGGTCTTTAAAGCAATTATAAATTCTGGAATTTTTAGCTTTTAATGCA